CAATCTTTTCCAACCAGTCCTAGGGCTCCAACTACAACAGGGATTGTTGATGTTCCCATATGCCACATTTTCGAGATTTCTATTTCAAGGTCCTTGTATTTTGACAGCTTTTTATTATTATTATTATTATTATTATTATTATTATTATTATTATTATTATGTTGCTTGATAAAAATTGAGCATGAGAGTGATTCTCACCGAGTGTTCGAAAACTCATCGTTATTCAATAAATGTTTATAAACGTCACAAGATTAATGAATAAACAAAAAATCGTCATGGGTATGGCGATAAATTATATCCGGCAGCAAAGCCGCTGAACGGGAGGTTTTGAGGAACGTGGAACTACCTCTTAATTGCTGTTGTTCTAAGGTCCATCCATAACCCAGAGTGGTAGAATCCCAACTATGGACAAATAGTGAAACCCAAAATTGGGGTCAAAACATGAAAATATAAAAAAAAATAGCATAAAAAATTACCAACAACACATTTTCATAGTAAAAGAAAAAACCAGAAATACGTTTTTGGAGAAAAAAAATTACTAATGCTCTCAGAAGAGAATACAATGACTCATAAAGAGTTGATATGCGGTTAAATAAACCAAAAATAAATAAGAAACGAATAAAAATAAGGTTGACTTGTCACCAAAAGAATATTGTGATCTTAAAGAGTTTAACATTATAAACAACAATGGTTAGATTCAAGTGGTTTTCAACGGTTTACACGAAGCATTTCCGAAAATTGTACAGTTTCACAGCAGTGGTTCTTATTTTCCCTTGGCCTTTACATCCATCAGCAAAAACTTTAAGCTAAAACCGGTTGCTAAATAAATTTGAATCCCATCACCGCAAACAATTCTAGATGGCGTAAATGTGTAGTCTGTGCATTCCTAACAAGATTAATAATACTGATGCTTTTTTTTTTCTCACGCATGTAATGAATTTTAATTCAGGATGAAACTTCGTTCTCAAACAATAAGACTGAGAACCGTAAGTTCTATTCTAATAGTTTCTTTTCTTGTACTTCTCCCTTGTGGAACTCTCTTCCATTTTTTCCTTCCTTTCCACCTACAATCTTCAACAATTTAAATTCAACGCCAATCATTTTCTGTCTTCCTGAAGTCTGTTCTTTTATTGTCCTTTCTCATCACTAAAGTATTCGCATTGTTTTTCACTCGCAGTAACATCTTTTGTCTTAATGGCATTATCGCGTTGCTTGCGATGAAATGATTAAAAAAGGCATTTATACAAAACATTGGGATTGTACACAGATTCTAAAGCTCGACTTCTTTTTAAAATTAAAATCTTTTTCAATGCAAAATTTGTCATTCATGTTTTCCTCTTTTGAAATCAGACATTTCAAAATAAAATAATTTTGAATGTTTCTCTTTATTATTAATTTTTTACAAGTTTCTAGTTTATCTCAATTTTTGTTGTTCTTTATTATAATACTCAGGTCGTTTTCGACTTCTACGACCGTTATTTAATCAGCATAGACAAGAAATAAAGAATAAGGTTCTCATGAGACACGAACTCACATAATTTATATTTGTTGTTATTGGTCGTAGATTAAAAAAACGACCCGCGAGTTCCGAAAAAGAATAACAAAAGTAAGCTGAAAGAATAAATAGACAAAATGAATAATAATAATAATAATAAAGGAAGCCAACAAGTTCAAAATGGAGTTTCAAATGGGTGAAGAAATGCAAGTAAAGCATAATACAATTTCGGCAGCTGCAAAATACTTAAAAAAGAAAGCAAAGGCAAATACAACCGATCAGATACAAAAACGATGGCAAGATAAGCGGCTTCACCGTCAATACTCTGCCCGTAGCAAACAAGCTGATGTAGACAAACCCCGAACCCATCAATGGCTACGTAGTGCAGGGTTAAAAGCTGAAACCGAAGGTTTTATTCTTGCTGCACAGGACTAATGCTTGCTAACTAAAAATTACCAAGCGCTCATACTAAAAAATTGTGTTAGCCCAAAATGCTGATTCTGTGATTAATATCAAGAAACAATTGTATCAGGTTGCGCGGTATTGGCACCCACTGAATCTAAAAAAAAAACTGCAAGAAATTATTATGAACACCATCCAGATCCGCTTACGGAGATAGGACCTGTAACAATTTTATGGGTCATGACAATACACACAGACAGAACAAACAAAGCTAATCACCCTGACATCGTGATTAGAGACAGCAAAGACATAATGTGCCTCTTTATTGACATGACAGTCCCTGCAGACTGTAATGTATTTTTGAAGATCTTCAAAAAACTATCAAAATACAAAGACCTTGAAATCGAAATTTCAAAAATGTGGCACATGTGGACATCAACAATTCCAGTAGTAGTTGGAGCCCTCGAATTGATTGGAAAAGATTACAATATAATAGGGATTACTGGTAGCCCATGCCTTAAAGAAATACAAAAATTGTTCTCACAAGTACAGCCTACACACTTTACGAAATCCTTTATTTATGTAAAATATGTGTGACTTTTTTTTTCAAAATTGCTTAGTGGAATATGTAATGATGTCATTTCTGACCTTAGGTCTCTGGTCGGGACCTGAAAAGAAATGAGTATACACAAGAAGTCAAAGGGAATAATAATAATAATAATAATAATAATAGTACTAGTAGTAAACAAAATGATTGCCGCTTATCTGGAGAAAAAAACGGTTGTACTGGTAATCAACTCGTCAAAACGAATGAAATAAACCATACTAAACTGTTTGATTAATTCCTCTTAGTAACTAATCAACAAACGGAAAATTTAAAGATGAGCCCGACCCGATCATGTCACTGGCGTTTCATTTGCATTCCATTCACGCTGTCTGCGTTTCATTTGTTTTAGCTCGTTGATTACCAGTACAACCGTTTTATAACCTGTAGATATTCTTTTAATATTTTTATACTTGTATGTAATTTTAAAACATAACTTAAAGAAAACAAACATCTTAAAAAATTAATTCACCCCAAGCAAGGCGATAATTCCACTAAGACACATGGGAGTGAAGACTTTAGAAGGAACCAGAGACCCAATCTTAAGCAAGAAACAAGGATAAACCTCTACTCCTGTTCAAAAGACTGGGGGAGGAGTGTAAACCGGACGAGTGTCAAAAGAATGGGGAGGAATATCACATACTGTCGAAATACGGTTGAACATTGTTAAGCACCGTGTCTTTTCTTTTTTCTTAATAATGCTTAAAAACAAAGACATGACTAACCGATGAATTATGCAGTAATAGTAGCTTGTTGCATGATTATATGTGGTGCATTACTTAACAGTTATTTTTGGCAATCAGTTTGCAACTGACAATCATTCACTAATGAGTTGTGCTTTAGTTATTCTTTGTCAAAATTTGCAGTTCTGTACTTTTTTTTGCAAATTTGGTCAACCATAACAAAACAGAAAATGCGTTTGACAAAAGTAGAAAATGGCGGCAAATGTTAATTCAATGATTGATGGCAAAATGAAAAGATTGCAGTCTTACGTTTATAAACCCATTTTCAATTTGGGAACAAAACAATAATCATGAATAGTTCTAGTGACATACAAATGGAACGAGTTGACTTGAGAACAAATTCATTATTGAAAATTAAATTTGATAAGCTTTTCTTAATCCCAAATGCTTCTGATATTATTCATTCTTTGTGATCATTGCCACGTAAAAATCGTCCATAACTAAAAAAAGAAAGCATTCAAAAGTATATTCGCCACTTGGAAATAGTAAATAGGAACAAATATTTTCAGATCTGAAATTGATTAAAAACAGATGTTGTGTTCCGTGTTGCCAATGACTTTAGTCGTTTAGATCCCAACACCACATCATAGGCTGTATCAACAAAGGACGATTTCTTTTTCATATTCGTTTTGCCATACGAGAGTGATAGACGTGGTAGCATCGATTCTAGGAGGTAGCGGAAGGAAGATCTTCTATGGAACGGAACACATGCCGACTCCTTGGCTTAGCATTCCGCCACGTGCGGGCTAGTCTTTCTAAGGCATCTGCGTGCAGAAAGAGTGACAACTTTTCAAAATCCTTGTGGCCCTCTGCCTATTTCACGCCATTTTTGGTCATATATCCAAAACTTAACCACGCTCACGGATCCTCTGGCTAGTAATTTCTTATCCCGAGTTGGCCTCTGTAACACAAAACGAGACCGCGATTGACTGATCAAATTTTAATTTTTTTTTCTATTACTCTCAGTAACTAATTTAGTTCTAAACATTAGCACTTTGGTGAAATTAAAAAAAAAGAGTCCATTTTTTTATTTTTAAGCAATAAATTATGTAAAATTCAAAATATCTATAAATCTTTTGATAAAATATAATAGGAGTAGATTTGATTGGCGCATGCGTACTTTGGTGTAGAACAGTTAATGGATGGAATGTGAAAGGTTTGCTGATTACAGTTAGAATTTCTCATTTTCCGGAGAGAAATTTTAACTGTAATCAATAATTTTATCTTATAAATAAGAACAAATATTTGATAGCGTGTAGATATTGCAGCAAAATAATGTAAACCTTTGTTATTTCATAATAAAGACAAATTTATTTATTTTATTTTATATTATATTTTTTTTTTGTTAGTACAAACATGTTTCTTCTTTTACGGGCGATGGGGAGAAGAGATTAATTCGTGCAATAAGATTCTCATTACAGATTATTGTTACATCATTTGCAATGCTTTCTTTTCTTTTATAGAAAGCGGACGCGTTTCAGCAGATGACATATTAATAATACCATTGGACCTACTAGATTTTGAAAGCCACCCGCATGCAGTAATGTGTGTGCTACAGTATTATTCACAGGTGATTTTGCACCGTCACGACTGCACTTACCAATTATGTTTCAGGAATTTTTCTCTTTGAAATGATTGCTATTGATTTTCACAAAATACCCCCCGAGTGTTTTTTTTTCTTATCCTTTATACGAAAAGTGCATATGTGTATATCTATATGCTTATGCGTTTCCGCCCCTCTGCTAGATGAGGCTTAGGGCCAAATCACATAGAAACACCGATTTCTGTACGATCCCCGAAGTTAAGCAATGTCGAGCTTGCCCAGTACCTAGACGGGTGACTGCTTGGGAATACCAGGTACAGCAAACTTGGATGTGTGGGTGGTGTAATGGATAACGGCTCGGAATTGAAGTCGGAGAGCCGAGTTCCAATTCCAGTCGGGTTCGTTATATTCACTTAAGCACAAATAATCTTTGAGAAGTTATGAATCCACCTCTTCTTCCCCCAATCTATAGGTTTAATATATACGATTTGTATTACTAAATCATTATTATCTCCACCAAATTCTTACAATCGAAATAAATATTTTCTGGCTCAATAACCTGCAGAGGGTTGATAAGCTGTAAAAACAAATCAATCCAGAATTATCTTACCTGAAATTAGAATTTTATCTTCACCTTGATCGCAAATAATGAGTTTTAAATGATGAACAAACGAAAGAAGACACTGATTTTAATCACATAATCATGATAATTTTGAAAGAAAAATAAAGTATATTTCTGTATGAACCTTTGCAGTATAATCAAACATTGACTCTTACATCTTCGCCTTTGATACACCCTACCGAATAGGCGCTTCTTACAGCTAATGTATAAACTGGTATTATTTTGATTCGTCATTTTCTTGAAAAAAAAAAAGAAACAAGAATTTCGATTTTTGCATTGTCTCGCGTGTAGAAGTCTAATATTTTGTAATTAAATTCTACTTTATCGAAAAAAAGGTAAAGCTGAATGAAATCAATGTACTGAAGGTTAAACGTAATTGCTGCTTGAAATTTGGTTCTGGTTAGTAAAAGATCTGATTAGATCGATTTTATTTTCATGCTCTCCAAAGTCTTCCTTATTGCTACAGCGGGTAGCTTTAAAGAATGTTATCAGTTTTAAAAATTTGTTTATAGCATCTCTTAATTCTGTCGTTCCTCTTTCATCATCATCATCGTACTCTCTTCAGATCGGAGTAAATGTCATCTACTAGTTTTTCATTACTTGTGTGAGTTGCGTAGTAACAAGCAATGAATGCGGTTTGAGGATTACTGTTAAATTCAACAACAATTTTGCGATCAGATATTTTTTCAACAGATAGTAAGTTTCCCGAGGCTTTAGGAGAGAGAAGTATACCAATTCCTCCGACTGTCGAATCTTGGGAGTTTTTGGTAGCTGAGGCGGTGATAAATTGGTATTGATCAAGGTTGTTATAATTCAGGTCTATTTCAGGGTGATGGTACCTATGCTTCTGGATGCTCAAGATGTCAATTTTGTTTTGTTTTATAGACTTCATTTCCTAGAAAATTTTTATAAAAGTTATTTATTTTCACATTCATAAGGACATATAGTTTACAAGTTTGAAATTTATAATAAATGCAATCAAACATTTTCCAAGTGCAGAATATCTATAAACAATTGCACTGTCGACAGGGAAAGTAGCATTTATGGCAAGCACCACGATAATGAAATGCCCCCTTAGTCAAATAGTAGCACGGAAGAAATTCATTAAAAAGTTTAAGTTTTGTTTAAATATTATTTATCAATTAAAGTTATGAAACATTTTTTTTTGATTTTCAGTAATTATGAATTAATAATTTGATATATTTCAAAATAATTTGTTCCAAACCTGAATAACTTGAGATTTATTAAAATGATTTTGATTTATCCGTTTAACGGAATATCAACTTATGGGTTATTTAATGCCAAAATTTAATTTTCTTGGGAGGTTGGAAGTAATAGAAATATAATACGCTATTCTGCTTTCACAACTGAATACATGGTAGATGATGCTCAGCATTTGTGCATATGCATGTTTGTGTGGACATGATTACTAGAGGCGGTGATGTGAGTTTTATGTTGAAGTTATATTTTGGAATATAGTTTTAATTGTAAGATATAATATAGCTTAATATTATGAAAGAGTTCTTTCATGCTGATTTCATGTAGTATTTTAAATGGATTTGAGTCGCTGTAATTTGTTAGTATGTGCGTATTGTTGCTAATTTTACTATAAATAGGATTGTTGGTAATTTATATAAAAGTATATTGCTGGTATTTTTACTATAAAAATGTATTTTTTACTTTCATGGTGTTTTGTCTTGCTGAAATAGATTCAATTCCTGCGTCATTCACTTCTAAACTATCGTGACACGTACTATCTGTATACGTGACACAAAGCCTGTTTATTGTGCATCATACAGTTCAATCGTCATATGTAGTTGTCCAAAATAGTCTAGTCCCACTCGGCATTTCCTGTGTTGCGTATACTTGCTTCTAGTTAGACTAAAAGCAATGGCAAACAAAATTTACATGTGTAAAGGACGATTTGTCATTACTTGCAGATGTGAAAGGAAATGGAATAAATTTCAACAAGGTGATAGTTTTCGTCTGTTTTATATATGGCTAATAAATGATTAGCATGATATAAAATATATTAGAATTAATGAAAACAGCTGAAAGGGAAGAAGACATTAAATCTAGCTATTAGGAATTGTGTGTCTTTGTATGTGTACATGTAAAAGAGTTCAGTCACCCGGGGAAATATATCTCCAAGCCGGGGGCAAGTCGTGTTTTGGTGTTGTCACTACCGCGTGCTGAAAGGAAAGAAGAAGAAAGAAAGAAAAAACAGGAAGTGTCCCGTTTTTATAGCTGTTTAACAATGCCAACTAACGGCGTCTTGGCAAACCAGGTGGAAGTAATCCTACACCTGCTACAACAGAATTCTATTTAGCGTTTTAATGAAACAGAGAAAACCAAAGTAAACATTTCCGGGATGAGGAAAGAGATTGTTCTTATTTGTTGTTGTAGTTCTTGTTGTTATTGTCGTTGTTCTTGCTTCCTTCGTGCTTCATAGACCCTAAACTTTCACTTACCATGAATGGTTGTTCTCTTAAGAAGCTTCATTACCTTGAAAGCCTATTAGGAATCAAGTTCACCCCAGACTCCAAATGGAACTCATATATACGGCCTATGGATAAAGACGTGAGGAAAATGGTTGCTTCTTTATACTGCCTTGTGGTTGATTAATTATTTTCCACTCTATAACACCTATCCCACAGGCGAACCGTCAGAAGTCTCTCGCTAAGTTATCGCTATTTCCATGACAAATGTTCTGAGGAGTTACATTTCTTAGTTCTACCAGCCCTGGCCTTCACAGCTAAAACCCGCTTTGCTATGTACACTGGAACGAATCATCACTATTCCCTTCATATTCCATTAGTCAGAAAGAAGTTCTATTCGGACACCTTCTTCCCAAGCACCGCTGAATTGTAGAACAAATTTTCGAGAGGATGCTTCACGGATTACTACGATCTTAATTTGTTTAGGTCTAGGGCTAACCGTTATATTTCCTGCATATCCTCTTAAACCACACTTCTTACTTCTTCCTCTTATGTGCAGAAACCTCAGTCAGTAACCATCTACCTTGGGTGGCTCTTGGGTCTTATATTGGTTGAATTACAGCGTATCTACCACTTGACTGATAGTACATTCCGTACTATGTATGCTGCTCCAAGTAGCGTGATTTTCTGAAAAGCGTAGCTGTTGATATTGACCGGCACCCTATCCCTGTAACGAATCGAAACTTTCAAAATGCGTAGGCGAAAAGAGGATTTCCAGTCAGTAATCTTTATCAGCTTGTGTCACGCTGGTTGTTTTTAGGTGATTTCTTGATCGACCAAGATAAACAGCCGGCCGCCTATGGTCACTCCAGGGCTAGTAATTAATTTTTTCTTTATCACTTGTATCCAAAGAAATCCAAATTAATGTCGGATAACAAATTTTAACGAATGTCACAGAAATTAAAATGAACGAACCTATGCTAATCTCTATTTTTGTAGGGTTATTTTTCTTCTGGGTGGCCGACTGAAACCAGATGTTTTTTCTGGCTCTTTGTCCAGAACAATCTTAAAAGTTATTTCGATGACCACACGGGTTTCTTTATCGACAACATGTTATTCTATTTGACATCTTTGAGGATACATTGGCTCTTTCTTATCAGCGGGAAGTTGGGGAAGGAAAGGTAGTCTTGTTTTTGCTCAATCTCACTGAATTCCGTCTAGTTAAATTTTAGTCCTTGGGACTGTTCTGGATTTTATTTTATTATTTTGAAACACGCAGTTCTTTTTTAATTTTCTTCACAACTTTTCAATCCACTTTTCTGAGAATTTCAAGAATTATCATCCAGTTCGTAGTCTCTTTCTTCTAATCTTTTTCTCTCCTTTTTTTATTTTGATTAACCCTCTGAGATCCCAGTGTCACATCCCTCCCTTACCCCCTAATCATTTACTTGTAATTGACACTCAACCTCCACCTTCCCCTTTTCGTGAAGCTAATAGTTTTCAAACAACAAAAATTTTCACTAAACAGGCAGTAGGAATAAAAAAGTCTTTCTTCTTCTGTTATCATGTACCTGGATATCTCTGTCCATTTTTTATTTTTTTTATATATATATATATATATATATATATATATATATATATATATATATAACGCATCACCCGTTACAAATTAATTCATTCACAAGTTTCTACTAATCATGCAGTAAAAATTTTGAAAAAGTCTTTCTTCTGTTATCATGCACCTGGATATCTTTGTCCATTTTGTTTATATATATATATATATATATATATATACACACTGTCCATACGTTATTTTTATAGATGGAAATATTTAAGTAAATTCTCTGTTTATAATAAACAGTATTAACAACACACACCGGTCTGAATATCCGAGAAATCTCAAGAAAATATGTGTCCTCCAACAGGAATCGAACCTGTATCCTACACGGAACCGTCATATAGCTTGACGTGCTATTCCATTTAGCTACAGATGAAGCGTCTGGTTAGCAAGATTAAATTACTGTTTTTAAACTACAAATTTCTCATGCATGATTTCCCTTGAACGCAGATATCTGCTCGAAGCGTATCTTAAACGTAAACAGATGACATCATAGATTATGAAATGGACTAAGTTCGACAATTATTTTAATATATTTTCTGTTCGTACATTATTTTTATAGATGCAAATATTTAAGTAAATGCTCTGTTTATAACAAACAGTATTAATATTTACCAGCCTGAATGTCACAGAAACTATATGTC